AATCTCTTATACTCCTAGAAGCACTTCTAATTCATCAATAAACGGTAACATCTCTTTCACTGAATCTGGAACTGAAATGTTTCCAATATAGATTATAGTATATGTTTCTTGAATGAGATCCATCATATAGAAGTCTAATGTATGATATATAAAAAGCAATGTCCAAAAAAGTTATTCATAAAAATCGTGAGAAAAAACTATTATAATTTCTTACCAACACATTGAAAATCTAGCAATTTTATGTCAGTACTCAAGTCTATGGCTGAATCAAAACAGTCCTTCATGAAAATACCAATACGGATTAAATCGTTACAATTTTTATAAACATTATTTTTTTCTGAAGGTGGACTGACTTCGCCCACAAATATGACACCACTTGTCTGTAGTTAATGGACAATAGATACTATAAAGTCAGGTTGTTTGCTTCTCCCCTGTGACGTTCTTACGTTCTTGACTTGCTTTTTCGTCAAGACCCGTATTGGGCCATTTAATAATATGTTTATCTGAATCATGAAGTAATTCCTTCATAATGTAGTCCAGATAATTAGTAATAAATGTTATTTCGCTTGGCTTATTTTTAATCTTTTCAATCGGCAACGTTTTCAGACATTCCAAGATAACGAAATCCAAGCTCTCATCCAATGTTTGATCGTTTGTAAGTTCTGTTAGCAGTGATTTTATAGCACTGCGACGTGACTCTTTTGTAGCTTGCTTGATTACCTTCCTAAACTTTGATTCACATTCTGAGTCTATTTCTGTTTGCTGAATCAGGTTTGACTTGTTGATATACTTCATCGAGCAGAGGAGAACCGAATATATTAACCATCTGTTTTGAGTAAGAGCCAGAAAAATCGAAGACAGCGCTGCCTCCGAAAGTTTGTCACAGTTACACAAAAATTATGATTGATTATTTGACAAATAATATACGTATACAACTCTCGATATAAGAAACTTTCAATATAAGAAATTCTTGATATAAGAAAGATTTTACAAATCCTAATTGAGAAATTTTATCTTTAATATAAGAAAGATTTTACAAATCCTAATTGAGAAAGTTTATCTTTAATATAAGAAAGATTTTGGCTGGGCCCAGTTATTTTTTTTATACCAAGAGTCAGTTGTATTCATTTATATTTTATTACTTTGTGTGCAATATATCGTTGCTATGTTTTCGTGTAACCATGACAAACTTTCGGAGGCAACTGTACGTTTAATTCAATGAATAGACTATCGGTTTTGCGATCTTTACTGACTCATTCTGATATTTTCGGAATAATTAAGATATATTGCTCTCTCCTATCTTAAGATCATTTGCTGGATCCCCATTATTGAAGCACAGTTCGTCTACATCATCAATTATTATGGTGCCGTACTCGTCCTCTTCCACTACAAATGGATTATCTATTGGCAATGAATGTAATTTTGGACTACATGGTGATGGTGTAGAATATCCATCTTGATGTTGTTTCTTTATCATCCGTTTCTCATTATAATCGATATCTTATTTTTTCTTAAGAAATAAGGTTTGTTATCTGTAGCTGACTCATCCTAGGTGACATGCAAATAATCATAAAAAGTTTGGTGTTGAATTAGCATCTCGGCGCTGTGCGACTGCAGAATACCATTTGCACCATTTCTAGATATCTCTAAAAGAAAAAGGGTGAATGAATATTCTTACCTTGTTAGCATCTTCTGCTTCTTTTTGTTCATTATTTCTGGATCATTTCTTTTCAAAAGATTTAACTAAAGCTTATGGACCATTTTTGAAGTATCGTTTAAACGTTCATTTTCTGTTTGCAAAAAATTCACAACACCTTCAGCCTAAAAATTTATTAAAATTCAAAATTTACTTCAAATATATAATCCTGAAAGGTTTAACTACACGTTACCTCGACAATTTTCGTTTTTTATCTATTTTATTGAGTTTTGGTCCAATTCGTTGTCTTCCCAGAAATCCTTCACTTCCTCTGATGTTTCCTCATTCTTGAAAAAAATACAATTGTAAAATTTTTCGTTCTACTAACCTAACCTCACCTCCAACCTTGACCAAACCAACCAATCCTAACTCCAATCTAACCCAAGTGGTGTATCTATAGCGGAGCCGTAGCCTTTTATATACGTAGCCGTAGTTAGTATACTAGCTAGTAGAATAACATTGCATTCTCAATGGAGCCGTAGCCTTTCATATACTTAGCCATAGCCAGTATACTAGTTGATAATACGCTACAACATTCGCGTGTTGGGATCCCACAGGCCGTAGCTCTTGGACAACAAAACGAATGCCTACACCATTAGTCATAATAAAAGTTGACTTACTGCAAACTTTTCCAAAGCTTCTACAACTATTTGATATTGTTCGTGGTTCGCTTAGCTTTTTACAAACATTTTCATTTAGTTTCATTTTGACTGTATTTTTTACAAAGAAAAACATGATCAGAATGTCGCGTAATAAATAAAAAAAATCACATGTGTTCCGTTTTGGAACGCTAATCTTTTAATTGAGTCAGAAATATAAGTGGGGCATGACTAGTGATGGCAAGTTTAGTAATGTATTATTATTTATAGATTCTAATTATTTTAGGCCATATATTTTATCTGTTATTAAATATATATGCCATATATATTATTTATATAGAGACAGCAATAATTTTTTCACGTAATTTATTTATATATTAGCATTAGATTATACAATTTTTATAACTTGTATTTATCATTGTTTAGAAAATCTACTGCTAAAATATACAGCTTAAAAAAATATTTCTATTTTAATTGATTATATATACTTAGTAATAATTGTAATACATATTAAAGTTTTTTATAAATATCACAATGCAATAAAATTTATATTAAATTTTTAAACATTAAAATTTTATTTTATTTTTTTTCCTTCGGCAATCCTGTTTACTTTATTATGAGAACAGACTTTCATTCCTACATCAGCATATGAAGAAATCTAAATTTATAGTGTTCTAACCAAAGAGTAAACTCACCCATAGTGTACCTCGCAGATGCTAAAACATCCACTTGCAGTCAGGGCAAACCATTAAACCACTGTGTTTTGTCCAGATGCAACCTGCCTAGCAACACTTGGCCTCCTCCAAAGATCCGGAACTCACTTCAGACTTATTTTCCCAGATTTCTTGGCTGGCTGTTGCTCGCTCCGTCAAGATTCCCGCTCTACAATAGAATGTCGCCAAACTGATGACACTTTCTTATAGAGAAGGAAAAAAGAAAAAAAAAAGGGATAATAGAGAATGAAAAAAAGAGTATGTAATTAAAACA